GCTGTGAATTTCTACATATATATAACTGTAAGCATAAGCTAGAGAATTAACACATGTGAGTTAGGACTTTGCTGGGTAACTGTATCTTTCATGAAATGGAAATAATGTTATGACTGCAGAAATCTTAAAATGAATTGTACTATTTGCTCCAGTGATGAATATTTTTTTCAAAACTGTTATTGAAATATGATATACATACACAAAAAAGTACAGCTATCATTACTTTTTGTGTCTGGCTTTTTTTGTTCCTCGTTATTTTTATGGCTTTCAGCCTTTCTGAAAGATCGCAGTTGTGTGAGTCCATTTATTTAAAATATCCAGTTGGCAAACGCATGAAGGCAGAAAGCGGTTAATGGTAACCAATGGCCAAGGAGAGGTGTGATTAGAAAATGACTGCTAACTGGTACAAAGTCTCTTTTTGGGGTGATGAAAACTTCTAGAGTTTGTTAGTGTTGGTGGTTTTAAACTCAATGAATATTAAAAAAATCACTGAATTTTATACTTTAAGTGGATAAATTTTATGCTGTGTTAATCATACCTCAATAAAACTGTCTCAAAGAAGACAACTCCTGGAATTATGTTTGGGACTACATTTAATTTTTAAAGAAACTTTCAAAGATAGTCATCTGCACAATATTGACTCTTCTAAACAATATTATATTTTTTCCTTCCATGTATTAGGTTTTCTTTAATTTCTCCTTGATACATTTTATAGTTTTCTATATTCTTAAAGACACATGGGTATTTCACACTCATACTTCTGTAAATGGGGTCCTTCTTTTAAAATTTTTAGTAATTTTTGCTGGTATAGACAATAATACAGTGATTACATGTTGGTCTTATATCCAATGATTTCTGTGATTTTAGGTATTAATTTATCATTTCAAATATGTATTTTTCTAGATTTTTTTATACAAAAAGTTACTGCATATGTAAATAATCACACTTTCTTTCTTTCCACGTGCAATCATTTTTTTTCCTTGACTTATTTTTACTGGTTACGGTTTCATTTCCAACAATGAATAGAAGGTACAGTAAGGGTCCTACATGTATCCTTTCCCATTTTAGGGGAAAATATTTCATCCTTAAGTAAGAGGGTTGTCTTAAGGGTTTTTTAATCATATTTTTCTCATATGAAAGCAATCCCATCATACTGTCATTTTTCAGATGAATTTTTAATCAATAGATGTTACATTTGTATTATTTTCCCATCAATTGGAATGATAAATGTTTTCTCTCTATAATGATTACAAAGTAAATTACCTTTGTTTCTTTCATATGTTAAATTGATCTTGCATTTCTGAATTAAAATTACAATGATCCTTCTGTTTCATCCTTCTTAAAAAAATCAGTGCATATATCATATCTAGATTAAGCTATTTTTCTTCATCC